GTCATTTCGAGTTTTGTATCACATCTTTAATAAAAATATTTTTAATTGAAATTATTCTTATCAGAGGTTTATCAAATCAAAGATTATTAATAAGAAAAATTGAAAAGAAAAATATTCCTTTATTACTTTTTCTCTTTCTTCTTACTTGAAAATTTTATTGCTTAGTGAAAGCAAATTTTATTTCTGGCAAATAAATTGCATCAAAAGTCGCGCGAGTTATTATTATTCTCTCAGCCGGTTTGCCCAATTTTCAGATTAAACCTCAACGATAAGCGAGGGGAAAATATTATAAAGCAGAGGATGAAAAGACGCCGGCTTAGTTTCATCACAGGCTGCTCTCGAATTTACATTTTTACAATACCTCTCTTTCTTTTTTTTCTCTCTCTTTCGCCGCAAAAATATAAATAGCGAGGCAGTCATCCACGAAATTTCTTCTTTCTCGCATATCTCTCGTTTTCCTTCTCCCGCGAGAGGACCCGAATTCTTGTTCTCCATTATGCTTCGCGCGCTCTCTCGGCTCGAGTAAAAACTGCGGCAAAGGTAAATTGCTCGCCGGTACTGCAAATTTCGTTATGTAAAAATAGAGCCTTTGTAAACACGAAAACTTGCAAAAGGCCGGAAGGAAGACAATGCAGCAAAAAGCAGGGCCCGCAAAGTTGCCCCGTTTGTAATCTACGCTTGGGCGGAAAATCAAATTTGATGAAAGGATCTAATTAAAGTCTTACAAATTAACTGACAAAGTTTTTAATCTAAATGGAATGCTCAAACTTTTGGGTTTAGAGAAATGTTAGTTTTATATTTGTAATGATTTAACTATAATAAAATTAAAAATGCAACGGAAACCAAAGAAGCATCTCAAGAGTTTGATTGCAATAATTTTTTTTATGGAAACTATTACATCTGAAAATTGATTTCAAGATATTTTAAAATACTTGATGCATCATAAAGAAAGAGGTTTTTTTTAACTTCATTGAATCAATTTTAATAAAAGTATTTTGATAAATTCTGCTTGTTTTTTTTTTTTTTTAATTTTAAATTTCGTGTTTACAGTAAAAAACTATGAAAATTTAAAAATTTCAACTATCTGGCAAGCATGATGACTGCATAACTTTGGATTTTGTGACCTTTGGGGCTGTTTTTAGTCTTTAGGCCTCTCCTTTAATATCAAAACGAAGCCAGGAGCGCTTCCTCATGCAAAGCTGAGGAGTTCTTCGTACTTTTGATTATATTTCTCTCGAGGCGCAAATGCAGGAATTCATGCCTGGCCAGACGTCGTTTGTGTCATTTCGCTTCAGTGTTCCGCGCACTGCCCGTGATGAATAGGCCGTAGCGACCAACTTTTCGCCGCTTCCTCCTCCGCTGCCGACGAGGTAATCTCATTTGACAGGTTGGCATAGCAACTTGCCGAAAATGACTTTCACAGTCCCGCGTGTCAACACATGCATCTATGATATCTGATACACAGAGAGTGGCCCCGATTTGAAGGACCAGAGTGTGCAGGTCGAACTTGTTATAATTTTCCGCTCCAGCTTCAATTCTGGCTTATTTGTGAATGTACAAAATGCTCACATATTTCAGATTCCATAATAACTTTCCTGCTGATTATTATGATGCTTAAATCAGCTGAGCCCAAATTTAAATAAAAATAATTGCGCATAGAAAGAAAATTCTAAAATAAATAAACTCAATTTATTTACTTTGTTTGTAGGAAAAAAAATTATTTAAATTAATTTAGTGCTTGAATTCCAATTAATCAAGGAAACCAGACTAAACTTGAGAAAGGTGAATTTCAAACAGCACAGTATTATTTATAATAATTTTCAATATATTCCATATTTACCTTTTGATTGAAATTTTTAAATGTTAAAAAATCAAATTTGAATTCAATTGTTTTTATTTTGCAGAAGAATTTCACGATCGCGAGTTGAATTGATAGTCGGTTTTCTGTGATGGTTTTTGTTTGTCATTTATTGTCTTGAAGAATCGGAACAATTTGAAAACAATTAAAAACCCATTCACCTTCCAAATTTAATAATAGCTTCAAACTTTGTCTCCCACTGTAAAATGAGTGAAAAATTTCTGTGATTACAATTTTATTTTCCTGTCGCATGCTCAAATATTCTAGAAATTTGTCACGCCTCGCCAGAAGGTCGGCCAAGTCATCCCCAGGGAGGTCTAGTTGGGCGTCACTCCGCAAAGGGGCGACACCACTCAGAGAGTGCGAGTTGGAATCGCTCTTTTTTGGCCGACTGCCCGCACAAACGCGCGTCCAACTCATCACAGGGCAAATAACCCCAGCGCTCTAATTGCCAGCGATGACACACGATCTTCCAAGAGAGAAATCCAGATTAGCATCTCGGTTCTAGGGGGACCGGTTTTTTATTTTATTAGCGTCACTTCCGCTCGCATAAAGCAGTTGAGCGAGGGAATATAAATGTGCGGTTGGCTTTTAATGATTATTGCATACGACAGCGGTTTTATGCAAATTTTCTCACGCAAAGGTAATTCGCAATTTTTGATATTACATTATAATTAAATTTCCAAAATGGAAAATTCATACATTTTTAAGATATATAAAAGATAAAATTTCATGAACACTCCAAATTAATAAATAAACCTATTCGTTGGGAAAAAGGGGGTCTATTATTTTTATGAAAGTTTTAAAATTCTTTTAAATAGGCAATATTTTGGAAAGAAGTTCAAATTTTAAGTTTCAAAATGTAATATATTAGGTGAACGAATTAAAAATAAGTTATTTTTAGTGAAAATAAGTTTTTATTGTCTCAAATATGTGATTTAAGGTGTTTATAGAATCTAAATTACAACTAAAAAAGTCATATTTTATAAGTAATTTTTAGTTTATTCCCCATAAATAACATAATAGGTTAAAATGTGATGATCCCAACTTTCACGAGCCTAAATAAATCAGTAAAAAGTGTTAATTTTATTCAATATATTTTAAATTTGTTTCTCATGCTGTCATTTTGTATCAATAATTATCTAAATTTGTTCAAAAGTTTTCCCAAAAACTAAACTTTTTTTGCGCTCAAATGAAGAAGAATAAATTACATTTTATTTCTTCAATAATTTTAAAATGGAAAGGGGTATTTTTAAGCCCCTTAATTAATATTAACCATTTATTTATTCTCCATTTACATTTATTTTATAGTTTATCTCATGTATTTAGGTCATGAGATAAATTATCGTACTACATTTTTAGATAAAATCTTTAACTTTTTCTGCTTATTGTACATGTTCATTTCTTTTTAATTATTCTCAAAGAGGCGATGAACCGTTATTCGTGCCACGAGCAAACGATTTTTCTCTCCTCGTCCGCTCTTTCTCGCCGTCTCTCGCTTAATGAATGCAATCGGCGGCTGGGCGGCTGATTAGAGAGCGAGTTATGCAACCGGCCGGGCTCAGCTGCTCGGCAAAATGCCGAACACTCGAATCTACTGACGGGTTTCGTTATTTGCTCTGCCATTAGAGAGACGGAATAAAATGCACGAAAAGCAGCAGCACTTTGTGTCGTTGCGGGGCTTCGGCGTCCGTGTCGCTCGCCCTGTCGCACCTGACGCAGAGTGTGCTTTTTTAATGGCAATCCGATTGTTAACCAACACAGTTTTGCTCTCTTTCTCTCTCTGTTGTGCAAGCAAGCTCAAAGCGAAATGGAATCATTGTTTCCAAATGTCAAAGGTTTTATTTTTTTATTAATTTCAGGCCAAAATGGATATTTCAAATTTGCAAACGTGAAATAAAAATTATTGCGGCCGTGAATTTGCATTTGGTGTGAATTATTTACGAACCACCAAAAGCCAAGCAGAGTGTGCAGAGCAAATGAAATCTCTCTGGTGATTACCCACACTTCTCATCGCCGCCTCTGACTGTTGCTCACATTTGCAAATATGGGAATTCGCTCGGCGTGTACGGCGTCGCGCTAATATACTTTGGGGTTGTGAATGTACTTTGCTTCAACATTAATCTTCTGCAAACAAACGCACGCTGGCGGAAATTATCGCCGCTGCTTGCGGTGTTTGAGGCGTAAATTACGTGCGATAATTTGACTGCCACATGTAGAGAGAGGAGAAGTTTGTTGGAGACACTTTTCTCATTATTTTCTTATTTTTAAAATATCGCATCTTCGATATCTTTGTAATTTAAATTTGAATGTTTATTAATTTTAATACAATACTGATGGAATAATTTTAATTTTAATTTATTCACAACATTGAGTTTAAAAAGTTCCTAATAGTAGTTCTAGTTCTTTATTAAAGTCTTAAATAAGTATTTATTGAGAAAGTAATTTTGTCTGATCTTCAATAAATTCATAAGGAGAAATAATATGATACATATTGTGTTTGTTTTAAAATTGCTTTTTGTTCTAAAGATTGTTTCAAAATGTTTCAATGTATTTTTTTAAAGAAATTTGTACAAAATGATGTCAAACAATAACAGAAGCAAGTTTTTATTTTTGGTATTTCTTTTTAAAACGAAAAGTTGATTTTAGTGTCAAATTATTTAGATTTAGAGAGACTCGTCTTTAGAAATTTATAAGTCCTTTTGCTTTTTTTATTAACTCCAATATTCATTCTGACAATAATCATGTGCAAATTGTTTAATATTAAAAACAAAATTTTTAAATGAAAAATTCCTTTTTAGATTAATGGGGACATTTCTAAATTTTTGTTTCCTAATTGGAAAATTTCACTCCTTTCAGTCCCTTCATTCTTCATTGTCTGATAATTGCACAATTATCAAAAAAATAATTGTCCATATAAAACTTGAGCGATTGTAATTTTTTTCCTAAATTGAACTTTGTATCAAAGTCTTGTTCAAAAATTAATTTTGGATATAAAAATTATTTAATAACGTGATTAGTAATTAAAAAATTTAATTCATATTTTTTTTTTCAGGAAGAACTTTCAAACACTTTTAAATTCTGAAAGAATAAAAAAAAAATCTGAATAAGAAAGAAATGAATAGCGTCAATTTGTTTGCAGGTGTGATGTGCGTTCGTCTCTTAATCAACGTAGCTGGAGAGTCTGTCGGTGCAATCGAGTGCTCTTTTGCACGCAGGCAGAAAAAACGTAATCCTGCTTCCACCGGCGGCGGCAGGAGGAAAAAATTAATCTGCTTCATCTGGAGAGGCGTCTTCTGTGTATACCTGCGAGATTTTTGCAGTCTTGCTCTCGCTCGCTCGCAGGCTGCAATTAGAGGGAAGACGGGACGGGCAGGCCAGGTGTGGGGGCGCGTGCGCCGGTCGACGTGTCGGGCGCGCTCAGTCGCCCTCCGGCCGGCGCCACGACCACACCAGAAGGCAGCAGCAGGGCCACGTGAGCGGCCATGAGGCAGCATGACCAGGCCGCGACTCTTGGTGGTGCTGGTGATGCTGGTGCTGCCCGTGGTCCACCCCCTGCCCCCTGTCATCAAGATCGGTAAGTCTGAAATATCATCAAAAAATTAGACTCCGATATTCAAATTTTTTTTATTTAAATATATTCCTTGTTATTTCAATTGAAAAACAAAGCATAGTTTTTCATTATTATTATTATTATTTTTTTTTTTAATTAAATTTTTATTTGCTTTGGTCGCGTTTTATTAGACCATAGGCTGAATTGAGATTTGAGGGTGAACACGCGCGCCCTACTGTGAAGGGGAGGGGGTGAATTGTAAATGGGGCACTGCTTTTTCGCGTCCCCCTTGATGTTGTTGTCGAGGAATTTTGGAAAATTGCCTTGCTGCTTTTTCTCTCTTCTGGAAATTATCAGACCGAGAGACGAAAATATGAATGCATTATTTATGGACTGGTTTGTTTGTTGTTTGGGCACTCGCCCATAATAACGTCACATGTTTTTGAATTACTTGCTTACAACAATCTTGTGTGCTGAAGGTACTTTTGAACTTATATTTGTAAGGAAAACAGAGATATTGCAAAACTTTAAAACGTTTAGGTTTTGCGTATATTTAAATCTCCGGATATTTCTCCAATCAAGTCATCTGTTTTAAAAGTTGCTGAGACTTTAAAACACTCACTTTTTACACCCAAATCAATAATAAATATTTAATTTAAAATAATTAATGACATAAAAGTTCAGAAAGAAACAATATTAACATTTTTGCTAAATTGAAATAATCAATATAAATTTCGAAAAATCCAATGATTTCTGGATAGGAGAGGTTAAAATTTTTTATTGTTATAGTATTTAGCTATCAATATATTTTGGAATTAATAAGTGTTTCCATGAATATTTATTTTATTTTAGAACATTTGGGTCATAACACATGGAAAGCAATAAATTTAGCTCTAAAATGGGAGGTTCGTACATTCTACTTTTAACACAAACGAAATGCTTATTTTCCGGATATACAGAGTAAAGATGGATATGAATAATAATAATAATTTTTTACTCTTCCATTTAGATATCTTTAAGGCCTTTATCTATTTTAGCCCCTCTGTTAAATCAACAAATAAATATTGACATCCATTATTGCACCTTTTGAATTTCACGAGCAATCACATTATTTCCGGCGTTTGCTAGGTTGATTGCATTTCGAGATGGATCGCAAATTGAATTATCAGCCGAGCCAACCACATTCGAGCTCTGAAGTGCCATTAGACCTCATGTCTCGTTCGAGAGCAAACAAAGAGAGAGAGCATGGCGAGAGAGATAATAAAATTTTTGTTGTCTCAGCAACTCGTCTTTTTCCGCCGTTATTTGCATGCTGTGTCTGCAGCCTTTCGGATTACTTTCCTTATCACGAATAATTTTGCATGATTACCAGCCCAGGGACTTCTTGTTTCTGCGAAAAGCTCTCCTTCTTTTCCGCCGCCAGACTTATGAATATTCATGGGTTTTTCTTCCACTCTCCGACGATATTGGAAAAGCCGAGAAGATGTTTACAAAAAGTTTCACCTTGTTGCCTTGGCGAAAAATAAATAAATCGACTCGGGAGCTCACAAAAGGGTTACTCGACAGCAATTTTCACCTTCTCTACTTTTTTGCACTCTCGAATTTTTCACAAACATTGATTTCGCTCGCTCAAAGTAAAGAGACGCCGTCGCTCGGAAATATTATCCACTCAGCTGGCGATTTTTCCACTTGGGCAAACTTGGAATTGGTTTGAGGCTGGAGCGTTTTGTTTTAAATTATATATAAATACTCCAAATGCTCTCTCGCAAGCAGGTTAAAGTATTCATATCAAAATGATTTAAAACTAAAAGCTTAATTTTAGAGACTTCGGACAGCGAATAACAAATTTTTTTTAATAAATTTGGAAAAAAAAGACACAACTAACATATTTATATTCTAGATTCGTCTTGAATAATAAATTTTATCATCTACTTTGAAATTAAAAATTGAAATTTCCCCTAATTCAGCTATGATAATTTGTAAAAAAAATCTTACTTCATTTACCAACATATAATTTTAACTATTGCCTTCCTAGATATTAAATTATCAATCTTAATTATATTAATTACAACCTTTCAAAGAATGTCAGAATTTCCAAAATTTTCTTCATTCTAACCTAATTTGTTTGCCACACAACAGAGGTACTTTTTAAATAATTTATTCACAAAAGTTGCGCAATAATTACACTGGACCAGACACATTTCAGCATCAAATTTACATATAAAAGTGGAGTAAATTGTGAAAATAGAGGCAGTACAACGGAATTCAACGGAGCATGGAACGGAATTGCAAATGAAGTAATTCCGACGAAATTTCGGTTGCACTTGTGGACGTAAATCACGAGATCGTTTCCTGCATTAGGCTGATGAGCACGCTGAGTTCTGGGCCAAACATGCACATCAATTTCCAGCCCGACAAACAAGATATTTCCGATATACACATCCGCCGAGTTAGTTCGCAACAAACCGATAACACTCACCTCGATGTGTGTACATTATTTGAGTCGGCAAAGTTTTTTGCCAGCGGGAAACACACACATTCCTTTTTTGATATCAATCTCTGAAACAAAAGTTGTGCTGGCGTTGCAAAAGTTAATTCCGTCGATTGCTCTCAGGATACAAAAGGAAAATGTGAGCAGATGATTGATGAATTTTTACTGCTCTTTGCCGACGAGTTTATTGAAATCTATTTTATCTGCAGAGAACTTTTTTGCAACTCTTGTTTGCCGAGATGTCGCGAGCGTTTATTGGACGCAGAGAGCCAAAAGTCTCTTTTTGGCACAGCTTTCAGAGATGGAGTGATATGAGATTTCTTTCCGACGAGTTGCATTAATCACGAATCAAGAAGTATAATAATCGAATATTGAAACGGCAGGAGATGAAGAAGAAGTAATAAAAGACTGATTTTGGTTCAGGAACATATTACGCGAATTTAATGTCTCCTCTGACAAATATCAGAATTTATTGCAGAAATTATTATTATTAAAACACTTAAAAATTTAATTTAATAACTTGATGTGAACTTGTTTTAGTAAAATTTTATCAAATTCCCAAAAATTTCAAACGTTTAGCCTCTCAATTGCTCAATTTATTTGATTAAATTTCTTTAATATGAATAAAAAAATATTTAATTTTAAAATAAATATATTTAATTTAACATGGTTCAATTATAATTGAAAAAATGGCCAAATTCCAATGCTTTGTGCTCCATCACAATAATCGCTCACAATGCCGCATCGTTTTTCAACTCTGCGTTTATATGTACGGCAAAAAGTTTGATTAATGAGACTCGTTTCTTCTCTCCCATGCATGCACGCAAGGCCCCTTTTTACAAATGCTCCTCTTGCGTACAAAAAAGGTCGGAAGACGGTGGGCGAAAAATGCAGTTCATATTTGCGAGGGAAGGCAATTTAACCCCTCTGGAGAGAGAAAGAGTCTCTTTCTCCGGCTTTTGCAAAAATTATGCGCGTTGTAGCGAATAAAAAATGTTGAAAAGGGCAATTAAACGTCATCACGTGCAGCGTAATGCGGGCGACATGCGTTTTGCATTACATTAGGGCCGGCGCGCGCTGAGTTACGAGCTGCCACGGCTTAATTATCTTGCTGCTTTTTTCCTCTCTCGAGGAAGCTCGCTCTCTGTGCACGTTTAAAAATTTACGCTCATTAATTTGCATTCTGTTTCATTACTGAAATTGCTTCCACCGTGCAGGAGGATTTTCAGCCAGCACGCCGCAGGTCACTCAATCTTTAACTTCTTGTTCGCAGTGAAAATATGAGATGCAATGAAAATGAAAAGCTTTTTATACCTAACAGGTTGAACAAAATTTTATAATTTTTGGAAAGAATTTATTGCCCGGAAAGGAAGATATTATTTAGATTTATGGTTCTCGTAATTAAATGTCCAGTTCATAAATTTTCCAAGTAAATTGAAAATTATGTAAAGGTTTATGAAAAAGAGCAAATACAATTTATGTTGTTAATTAACTGAAGTAAAATTTATTTTTAAAAGGTCTTTTACTAATTCCAATTTGTGAGAGATACTTCATGAATTTACCTGCAAAATAGGTTGGAAAAAATGTAAATTTTCAAACATGGTATTATTGAAATATTGAGATCTCAGTCAAAGTATAACTCGTACTGCTTCAAAATCTAGAAAAAAAGCTTTAAAATAGTGTGAAAGAGCAGCCTTAACTCTTAATTTTACGGCACAATAGCAGAGTCTTTTGCTCCGCTCATATTTAGCACCAAACATGGTATTATTGAAATGTTGAGATCTCAGTCAAAGTATAGCTCGTACTGCTTCAAAATCTAGAAAAAAAGCTTTAAAATAGTGTGAAAGAGCAGCCTTAACTCTTAATTTTACGGCACAATAGCAGAGTCTTTTGCTCCGCTCATATTTAGCACCAAACATGGTATTATTGAAATGTTGAGATCTCAGTCAAAGTATAGCTCGTACTGCTTCAAAATCTAGAAAAAAAGCTTTAAAATAGTGTGAAAGAGCAGCCTTAACTCTTAATTTTACGGCACAATAGCAGAGTCTTTTGCTCCGCTCCTATTAAGCACTAAACATGGTATTATTGAAATGTTGAGGTCTCAGTCAAAGTATAGCTCGTACTGCTTCAAAATCTAGAAAAAAAGCTTAAAAATAGTGTGAAAGAACGGCCTTGACTCTTAATTTTACAGCACAATTGAAAGATTTTTGCTCCGCTTGTATTAAGCACTAAACATGGTATTATTGAAATGTTGAGGTCTCAGTCAAAGTATAGCTCGTACTGCTTCAAAATCTAGAAAAAAAGCTTTAAAATAGTGTGAAAGAGCAGCCTTAACTCTTAATTTTACGGCACAATAGCAGAGTCTTTTGCTCCGCTCATATTTAGCACCAAACATGGTATTATTGAAATGTTGAGATCTCAGTCAAAGTATAGCTCGTACTGCTTCAAAATCTAGAAAAAAAGCTTTAAAATAGTGTGAAAGAGCAGCCTTAACTCTTAATTTTACGGCACAATAGCAGAGTCTTTTGCTCCG